CTGGGGACCATGCTTTCAGGGGACATCTAGGTCTACTGGCATAACAAAGTTTTTTAAGAAAATGTTCTGCATGCTACTTTGGTGAGTGGCGTCTGGGGTCTTAAAAGCTTGCAAGCGGCCATCTAAGATGCATCAATTGGTCTCAACCCACCTGGAGTAAAGGAGAATGAAGAACACCAAAGTCACAAGGAAATTATTAGGCCAAGAGACAGAAAGGGCCACATAAACCAGAGACTTCATCAACCTGAGACCAGAAGAACTAGATGGTGGCCGGCTACCACCAATGACTGCCCCGACAGGAAACAACAGAGAGTCCCCGATGGAGCAGGAGAAAACTGAGGCGCAGGACTCAAATTCTAGTAAAAAGACCAGACTTCATGCTCTGACTGAGACTGGAGGATCCCCAGAAGGCATGCGCCCCAGACTCTCTGTCAGCCCAGAACTAAAACCATTCCCCAGGCCAACTCTTCAGACAAAGATTAGACTGGACTATGGAACATAAAATGATACTCATGAAGAGTATGCTTCTTACCTCAAGTAGATACATGAGACTAAATGAGCAGCTCCTGTCCGGAGGTGAGATGAGAAGGCAGAGAGGGTCAGAAGCTGGTTGAATGGACATGGGAAATCAGGGGTGGAAAGGAGGAGTGTGCTGTCACAGTATAGGGAGAGCAATTAGGGTCACATAACAATGTGCATATAAATTTGTGTATGAGAGACTAACTTGAATTGTAAACTTTCACCTAAAGTACAACAATAAATAAAAGTACATAGAAGCTATGAGGCAATAGAAGCCCTTAAGCAGCAGAATTAGTAAGAGAGAGAAAAGAAGAGACAGAACTAGCAGTAGAAGCAGAGTCAATAAAAAGAGAAGCAGAGATAAAAACAAAAAAACTGAATCATGAGCATAGAGGACTATTCTAATACTAGAGTAGCTGCTTTATCCTGAAGAATGCTTCTGTTGTCTATGGAATGTGACTGGGCAAATCATAAGATTCTGTCCTGGGATCTGACTTCCAGTGTATCTTTACAATAAATCCACATCACCCAAAATAACTTCAGCATTTCCCTATTCCTTGCAATCTAGAAGACACTCACACAGGAAGCAATGTTATGCTGGTAGAAAGTTATGAAACAACTTAATATAATATTAAAGCAAGATGTTACTTCTATGACACCCAGTAAAAGAACATTGATAGACTGATAAATAAAACATTCCTAACATACCAGTTTGCAAAGGTCTTTATAGGAGTCACAGTTCCCTCTACTGTATGTGCTGCGGAGTACCACTGGGTTAATTTCAACTCCTAGTGATTCCATGTGACGAAGTAGGGTTTTCTAGGCTGTAATCTTTACAGGAGCAGATCTTCAGGTCTTTCTCCCACTGAGCTGCTGGATGGTTTAGAACCGCCAACCTTCCAGTTAGTAACCAGTTGCTTAACCATGGTGCCCCTAGGGCTCCTTCTACTTTATATACCCATTGCCGTCGAGT